TTATTGAACTTCTTTACAATTTTTGTGCTCCCTTTAAGCCAAAATCCTGGCAGTTTTGTTCGCTCGCTGGAACATCGTCCAGGGCCTAGTTAACTCGCTGATTAGATTATCGTAACTACTCCGTAAGATCACCTTGACGTAGGACTACGGTAGGTACGCTTTATAACAAAACTGTTTACAATTAAAGCTAGAAAATCAATCATATACAAACATAAAGAATACAAATTGTTTACATACCTGTAAGTCATCTACGACATCCTTACAGAATGGACAATTTTAGGCAAGGTTTAGCGCCTTTTTCAAAAGGATTTGAGTAAGGAAATGTAAATTATCGTCTTTATTTTTAGGTAAACGAGTATAGTTGTCATAAGATGTGTACTCAACTTTAATTCATCATAGCTCAAATCTGAATGGGACAACTTTCAAAAAATTCTCAAATTCAAAAAGAACCTTGATTCATTGTCTATTCTGAAAGAATGTAGGAAATTATAAACTAAAAATTACTTATCTGTAGGAGAACTCTTGATCCTCTGCGATTATATCGACCAATAACAATGAAAGAAGTTGAATCGATGAAACCGTTGTCGCTTTTATATGGATTCTGTAGATGATAAATAATGCGATGACTAAGCCCCCAAGAAAGTTTTTTGAATCAAAGTAAAGCTAATTTCATTCATTTAAGACAAAAGCTCAAATAATTGGACGAGTTGGCCGAAATGGAGCAATTCCAAAACGCATTGAATAAAAAGGAGCTCACTAATTTCTGCACAAGTATGCTTTCCTCGTCCAAATCGAATCTTGGTGGATACATTGTCCTATAAGGGAGATAGTATCCTAGAATTTTACAGTAGCCCTATCACTCACCTATTCAACAGGTAACTCGTCCATAATTGATTTGGAACACCAATTAGAGCGTCTAACTTATTTTCAAGCAATATTGCTCCGATACGTAGTCGAAGTATGTCCAAAAGACGATCCTTCACCGAGCTTGCATACAATGGTTCCATTTGCGCCTCAAAAAATCTCCTTTAGTGGTCTCCTCTGGGACTTGAAACTTATTGAAATATTACCGAAAAACCTTCAAAGTTCAGCTCAAAAACAGGCATCATCGGCATTTTCTCAGCAATAGCTGCTGTAGTCTCGTGATCAGTTGTGACCGCTGATATTCGTGTAAGCATATCAAAGTGTATAACGTTGCATAAGAAATTCTGTATCCATGAAAAGCTTCCTTCGCTTGCCTGAAAATTCTAGATAAATATAGAACTCGTTTTCTGCCCAAAAAAACTCCATGATCAAAGTTGGAGTTGTTCGCCTTTTGCATGCCTTGAAAGCTTTTGGGAAAAATAATCATAAAATTGCAAAAATAAATTCAAAAGGAGCTTCAGTCTAAGAGAGCTATATCGCTGCAGGAATGCAGATGATTTTTGTGGAGAATTAGTTGTAAGAAATTTAGAAAACCAAAGAAATTAAATTCAATTTCAAAAATTTAAAGTTCGCTTTTGCGGTCGCATGAAAACCTCATTTTGCACTATTCCAAATAAAGGCTGACTAAGTTTCTTTTTTTTT